CATCTATCTATCAATCATCTATCTATCTATCTATCTATCATCTATCTATCTATCATTTATCATCATCTATCTATCTATCAATCTATATGTATAATGCATGTGTGTATTAAAATAATCTGACAAAAGCAACTTAGTGGAGGAGGATTTATTTTGTATCACAAACCAAGAGTAGAGTGGACCAGGGAATAGTACTTCCCACTACAATTAACCTAGTCTAGATAATCTCTCTGAGGTGTTCCCGGAGCTTGTGTCCTAGGTGATTCTACGTCACATCAAGTTGACAATCAACATTAAACTTTACATCAACTCAATTTCAAACGACAGAAAATTTACATTTATTCTGACTAAATCAAATGCAAGACAGAATTCTTACTCCCAAATGTCTTCCTCAATTTCCTTAAACGTAGAAAATTACACCAACAACCCCTCAACATTCAGGCCCTAAATCTAGGCATGATCCTCATTCCCTTCCTCTCCCTATTCACAGCCCTATTCTCAATCCACAAAGTCCTATGATCGCTATTTGCAAAATAGGTTTGGAGACCTGCTACCAAGGCTGATAGTTATTTTGGTCTTGGTAATTCCCTAGGTGACACTTGACCTGGATTAACTCTTCTCTTCTCTATCTCCATTGTTAATTCCCTACTCAACTCATCAGAACTCTTAGACTGTGATGTAGTTCAATGCTTTCCTAGTATGCTTGAGGTCCTAGGTTACAAAATCATTTTATGTCCTTATCTAAGCAACCATGACTTCTCACTTGCAGTAGTGCAGGTGTTGGGTAGGCATGTTCTCTGAGGGAAGTAGTGCTGAACCCTAAGAGATTCAGAGGGGGAGGGTCTAGGGACCAATGCTGAAGATGCTAAGGACCTGGGAAACGCTGAGCACACTGGGAAAAAAGGGAGGGGAGTCAGCATCTGGGAAGCAGAGCCTGCGGTGGGGTGGATGGCCTGGATCTCAAATGTTGGAGAGAAAGAGCTCACGGGTGCACATGCCTTTGTAAGAGACCCTCTTCTGAATAGCATAAACTTTGCTGGCAAGCCCAAATACATATTACTATTCCCCAAACTGTACCTTAAGAGGAACATTGTGATGGTTTAGTTAGAACCGGCTCTCTAGGATCCCAGAGAGTGTGGCAAGTCTCTGGGGAAAATTTGGTGACCGACAGGACAGCAGGAGACTTCTGACTTGTAGCAGCTTCTGTTCTTGACTGCCTATCATACATTCTTACCTAGGGCCAGAGGCGTATTTGTGTATTTGACTCTATGTGTGTTTCTGTGTGCCTGTGTATGTATGTGTGCATGCATGTGCGTAGTTTGCATGTGTAGGCCAGAAGTTATTACTGGGTGTCTTCCGCCATCACTCTCTACCCTATTTTCTGAGATAGGCACTTGCACTGAGGATGGTTCTCTCCAACTAATCTAGACTGTCTGGTGACCAAGTTCTAGGGATCCTCCTGTCTCTGCCTCCTCAGCACTAGGTTTAGGTTTATGTACCTCCACACCCAGCTTTTTACATCTGGTTTTCATGCACGCACAGCAAACACTTTACAACTAAGCCATCACTATAACCTCCAAGGGAATCTTTATCAAAGTGAATCAGATCCTGCATTTCCATGTTTAAGATCCACCAAGAGCTTGCAACTGCAATTGGAAAAAATCCAAATGCACATCAGAGTTACTACACCAATGAGGCTCTAGGCTGATCTCATCTTCTGCCTGCACTAACTCTGCATGTTGACCACCTTCTTGCCACTGGAGGTGTCGAGCCTGCTCTCACCTCTGTGCCTCTGAACATGCTCCCTGTGTCTGAAACACTCTGCCGTAAATCCCCACATGCCTGCCCCCTTCTTGTCACTGGGGCCTCAACTCAAGAGGCATCTTCTCAGAGATGCTTGTCTGACCTCTCAAAGTGCCCACATCACTTTCTCACAATGCCGTATTTGTTTCCCAGCAACTGGTGCTGCTGTGCTTGGTTACCATTCCTTAGTTATTTGTTCAGGTTCTTTCTCCTGGAATTAAATCTACATAAGTTAAGGGATATGTCCGTCAGGCTCACTGAATGATCAGTACAGAAATATATCTTTAGCACTGGGTTAACCTTTGTCAAAAACCAGAATCATCTCTCTCATTTCTCTGTTTCTGTCTCTCTCCATCTCTCTTACCTTGACAACAATGGGCACAGTAGGAAACTAGTTAAGTACTCATCCTTGGGTTCATGCTTCTTAATCAAAAGATAAATAACACTTCCTTCTAAGTATTGGACATATGTTCTACCTGAAGACATTGAACAGAACCTCATAAAGTCTTCAGAGGCTGCCACCCTCTGACATGGACAATTCAGCTTGGAACGTCAGAGCAGGACGAAGTCTCCGGTTCCTCAGCACCTTTCCCATCACTGTGTTCTACTACTGGTCTTTATCTAGTCTTGTCCTTTTGAGCCCTCTGAAGTGCTATTATAATCTCCATAATCTTCACCCTGTTATTTCTGATTACCTTTGTTTTCTTTCTACCGCTTCAGGAAAAATAAAACTCCTCTGTACCTTTCTCCAGGCCATCGCTACTGCTGAGGGTAACTGACTGTTGGCTCTATCATCCTCGACAATTCCTTGGATATTAAAACCCCATAGCTGGTCCTGGGGATTTTTAATCACAGCCAGTACTTCCTGTTGTGCTTATACTTGTTACAACTCGGACAATCTGAGTAGGGAGGCCAGTCTTCATTGTCAATTTGACTAGAGTTAGAATGAATAGGAGACACAACTCTAGGTGTGTCTGTGAGGACATTTAAAGGGAGTTTTAACTGAGGAGGGAGACCTATCCTGACTGTGGATGCCACCATCCCATGGGTTATGGTCCTGGACTGAATGAAAAGGAAGCCACCTAAGTGCCAGCATTCCCCACTCTCTGCTTTTTGATGCTGCAAGATGTGAGGAGCCCGAGTCACCTGCTCCTGTTGCCATGAAGTCTGCCTTCCCTTCCCTGCCACAATGATTTTATCCTGTTAGACATTGAACGAAAGAAATGCTTCTTCCCTTGAGCTTCTTTTGTCAGGTATATTGTCACAGCAAAGGAAAAATAATCAAGATAAGAGGAAAAAAGCTTAAATTTCAGGGATTTCTTCAACAGACATAGATGGGTTCGGTGTGATTTACTTGGCTGGGTTTCATAATCTGGGCATCTGGATTTCAGTCTGGTTACAAATTCTCACCAGTTCTTTTGATTTACCTTTTTACTAGAAAGTACTTCACAGTATTCTCAAGTCAAATCCACCATCTTCCCCATCATGAACATCATCTTCCCTCCCCTTAAATTCCTTTCCACTGATATTTTAAGTATTCTTGCTGACTCCAAATCCCACTTGCTTTCCACTCAATCACAGTTTGCTGGCAAAGCCCTGTGGTCTGGCCCACAGGTTTCCCTAAGACTGGCTTCTGATCCTGGATACGGGCAAATATCTGGATTCTCACCTTGGGGATGATTTCCAGGCTCTCAGAACCAGACACAGCAAAGCGGGAGCGGATATAAAGGGTGTCCATTGGGGATGGCTTGTGTATTCACACAAATTGGAATTTCATTTCTTCATCATCTATGGCCTAAGGAACATTACAAACAACTTTTCAGGGAGATTTCTGCTCTTCAGAAACTTATTGAATAAGGTGAGATGGTAGGTCAGTAACTTTGTATGGGAATGGGGGTAGTGCCCATGAGGTGAGTGATGACTCCTGTATACCAGTCTCCCCTGTGTTCTGCCACACATTGCCTCTGTCAGCTGCATACATGGCCTCTGTCATGTTCACGGCATAAATAGGGTCTCAGTCAGAAAAGAAGGGAGAGGGAAAAGCTACAGGTTGGGCATGGAGCCTGCTCATCCTTCTGATGCTTGGAGAGAGACTCTAGAAACCTGTGTATAGATTAGTAAAGCACAGCAAACGCGGTTGGGGGAGATCTGGAGTATGAGAGGAGCAATGCAGAATCACCACCTAACAAAAGTCCATCCTCACTCACAGATGAGGATCCCTCTGAGGGGCTCGTTAGCTGCATTTCACGTTTTCTGTCAGCCCACCCTGGCCCAAACTTTGTGTTCCTCAGTGTCAACTTCCAAATGTTGCAGTCATTGGGGAACAGGTAGAGGTGGAAGGTGACTTCCTAGAGATGAAGTTTATGGTACAGCAATGTGATGGAAGTGATGGGGATGAAGCACTGGGTGGCAGGGATAATTCTCAGTAGAACTCCCATCGGGGAGAAGCTGGGGTTTTCCAGGACTGTGTAAAGCTTTTCCACCATGACTGGCTTCTCTGGGACCATACCATGATCTTTAAAATGGGCCACGTGGAAGCAGGAGATGCTCACCTTTCCCTCTGTCAAAGAATAGATTGAAGAGACGTGCATTTAGTGATACCATTGAGTTAGGGTTGGCTGGGCTAGTAGGAGCTCAGGGTTTTGGGGGAAAGACCTTCCTGTGCACTGGCTGTGGCTGGCTTCAGTGCAGACAGAGGTCAGGGTTCTGCTCCTTCAAGACCCATGCTGGCTCGTCCACACCATCCAGGATGAAGAGCAGCTGCTGAAGCTGACAGGATCTGCCCCACGGGAACCGCAGGGGCAGGCTGATCTTTTGTGATGAGCTCAGCCAGACTCAGTGTCTTGTACTGGGCCTGCTCTCTGCAGCTGAAGTAGAAGACGTGCTGGAAGCAATCCCTGTAGAGCTGGCCTTCCTCCCAGGCTCTCCTCACCTGCCTGGCCGGTGTTGACTTCTCAATTCCAGCAGGCCCCTCCACTACGACTACTTGAGCTTCTTCCTGGCTATGTGGGTTTGAGCCAAATAAATCTTGGATCCCAACCAGACGTCCTCTCTCCTCTGCTATGTTTTGATACCAACTTTCCATGGCCTAGGTGCCTGGCCTCTGGGGTGAGATTTTTGTTGAAGTAACAACTGTGTGAATGTTTGGAGCAAATCCTCATTCTTCCAGGACTGTGTGGGGCAAAAACCCTCTCTTCCTTGGCTCTGGTATCTTTCTGTTATGATTTCAAAGTAAGGGAGAGAATAATGCAACATAATATATACAGTAGGCTTGTTCATTCACTCCTCAGCTACTCATTAATTCAGTCATTCATTCAACAACTGAATAAATTTAGGTACCTATGTAAGCTGTACTATACACTTACTGCAGGCAATGCTGTATTCTTGTGCAATGGAAAGAACATGAGGGTTTTTTTTTTTTTTTTTTTTGGACTTTTTGAGACAGGGTCTCCCTGTAGTCCCAGCTGTCCTGGAACTCACTATGTGGACCAGGCTGGCCTTGAACTCACAGAGATCCGCCTGCCTCCACCTCCCGAGTGCTGGGATTAAAGGCGTGTGCCACCACACCAGGCCTGAGTTTTTAAAAAAATATTTTATTTATAATTTTTATTTTATGTGTATGAGTATATTGCCTGCATGTCTGTGAGTGCATCTGTGTCGTGCAATGCCATGGAGATCAGAAGAGGGCTTCAGATTCCCCTGAAACTGGAGTTAAGGATGGTTCGTAGCCACCATGTAGGTGCTGATAATCGAACCCGAGTCCTTTGCAAGATCAGTCAGTGCTCTTAACTGATGAGCCATCTCTCCAGCCCCCAAGAACATGGGGATTTCGTTTTGTTTTACTTGCTTTATTTCTGTTACTTGTTTGTATTATGTCATTTGTGTTACTTCACTTAGTATAACTAGTTACTTCTAGTTCCATCCATTTACCTGCAAATTTCATGATTTCATCTTTCTTTACCATGGAGTAGAACTCCATTGTGTAAATGCACCACATTTTCATATTCAGCCATTGGTTAAGGGACATTTAAGTTGTTTCCACTTCTTAGCTATTGTAAAAAGAGAAGCAACAAGCATGGCTGTGCAAGTATCTCTGCAGATGGATGAGTCTGTTGGGTGTATGCCAAGGTGTGGTATTACCAGATCATATGCTAGATTTACTGTTAGTTTTTTTTTTTTTTTTTTTTTTTTTTTTTTTTTTTTTTAAAAAAAAAAAAAAAAAAAAGAGGACGATAAATCTTTCACTGTGATATATCAAAATAAACAGAGATCTGCCTGTCTCTGCCTTTCGAGTGCTGGGATTAAAGGCGTGTGCCACCATGCCTGGCTACTTTTAGTTTTTTAAGGGTTCTCCACACTGATCTTTTTTTAAAAAATTATTTATTTAATAGCCACATACTTAGAAGAAGCATTTCTACAACAGCATTGACATATTCAATAACAATTTCTAGAGCTAAGATGCATCTCTTTGAAAATTTGCTGTACATTTTTAGGTTTACAGTTGAATTAATACAGTTATACAATA